AACGAAACGCAAGGGCCCCCCTAAAAACGAAATGAGTTTAGAACCAAATTTTTCCGTAGTTACCCAAGCCTACTAAGTACATCAAACACACGTCTTAACACAGCAAGCTACAAACAGAAACTAATGGAAACTGAAAGTCTCTCTGTACATCTGCTTATCTCTCTTCACTCTGGCTGAGACGGGTGACTCCCTTCTGTTCCCAGTCAGAACACACATTATCTCATTTCTCTCAAGGTTACATAGTCACAGCCTCAGTAACAAACATTCACCATAGCATTTCTAATACACAGTAGACTCCATTTTGGAAATACGTAGAAACACATTTAAAACACACATACATAACTAAATTAATCCTGACAGTTCCCACATGGGGGAGAGATCTCAAAATCCTGGTCCCAGAGTCATATTGCTATGCCATGTTGTCTCTTCTTCCACAAAAACAGATAGAGTGGTATGTTTACGGTCCTTTCTCTTCCCTGTCCCCATTGCTTTGTTTTGTTTTTCCCAAGAGTGCCCCGAAGGGATGTTTGGTCCAAACTGCCGGCACCGGTGCCAGTGTGACAACGGAGCGGCTTGCGACCATGTGAGCGGGGCCTGCACTTGCACTCCGGGTTGGAGAGGGACGTTTTGTGAGCTCGGTAAGTAGCCAAGAGCCGGACCTTGGGTTGATGGCATCCCACATTTCTACTCTCATCAGACCTTGGAAGTGGCAACTCCATTCTTTACGCAAGCTATTTGGGGGTGGACCAAGTCGATCCGAACTGTGTAGAATGGAGAGAGCATTGTGCCATCACTTAATGTGGCCAGTTGGATAGGAGCACCATAAACTTAATCTGGACCAAGCAGACATTTGGAATGGTCCATTGTTTTCACCCCAACTCCTTTTTATGAAAATAATAGAAAACACAGATAACGCCTTTGTTTTTTTAAAAAACAACCTTGGTCTCAAGTCCACCTAAAACTTCAATATTATTATTAACTAACTTGGATACCTGGCATTGCCGGATTGTTTGAAAAAGTTAATTTTAATTGTACAAAATGCATAAGGTTGTGGGTTAGTCTTTTGTGAAGTATTCAGAGTAGCTATTAGTAGATAGCTAGAATACTATTTTGGAGCAGTGCCCAGTTAGTGGACTGTTCAATTCCTAGGGAAGTCTAATTCAGGGTATTTTTGGCTAGATTCCTAAGGGGCAGTTTTGGGAGTTACTTTCAGAGATTAATTTCCTGAAGTAATTTTCTGTGGTGGAACTTTGAAGACTTGTAACCCAGAAGAGTTTAAGATTTTACTCTAACGCAACCACAAGCTTCTCATGCCAGTATTTTCTGAAACCATTAAGCATTTGTACCTGAATTATTTTAAGCTTGTTCAATAAACATTCTTGTTCTTTTATTAACTTATACCAGCCTCAGTGTGTATACCTTTGTGGTCAAAGTATTTCTAAAGTCAGCTTCACAGCAGCCACTAAGAAACTATAGTGGCATAGTGTGTGTTACAGAACAAACTCACAATATTACCTCAGCCTGATTAATACTGGAATGGTGGCAGCGGAATTCATTTGAAGAAGCATTTTAAGTCTCTCAGTTCTAGTGTTTCCCAGTTCCTACCTTTTAAAATACCAAGTGTCTCTCCCCTTCTCTGCTCTAGTCTCCCCTGATATTGGTATAACCAGTGGGATATACTTCAACAATTAAAGTAAAGAGAAATTTAAATATACAGCTGGTTCAACAACCATACTCTCTCTTCCTTCTGACGGCTTCATATTTTTGGTGAACAGCACGTTCATATTTTAGGAGGTGCCTATTGTTATATCGGGCAATAGGCTTGGGCAATCCAGTTCGTTAATTTCGTTATTCGTTATTAATTCGTATTTAAATTAGCTTACGATCCAATATTGAGCCATGCAAGAATAGTGTGAGGAGTAATTAAGAATCGAAACAATTTTTCCAATTTTCGTAATTATTTTGTAATTATTTCGTAATTATTTCATAATTATTTTCGTACGTCTGGTGCAAGTTTTACAATCTCGCATTTACCCCATTTCCGGTCCCTTTGCTCTGCTGCTTCCCTCCTCTTTCCTCATGCTTCTTCTTGCCTCACTCTGGGCTGTACTGGGCTACCTACCTTCCTTCCTTCCTTCCTTCCTTCCTTCCTTCCTTCCTTCCTTCCTTCCTTCCTTCCAGCTAGCAAATCCCACATTCCCCCTCCCTCCTCTTTCTCCTGGCATCCTTCTTGCCCAAAATTTCTCATTACTTTATTTTTCATACCCTCACTCTATGCCACAGGAATGCGTTGCCAGGTACAGCTAGTATAAAACATAATACAATATAATATAATATAATATAATATACAATTATAATATAATATATAATATAATAAAATAATAATATTATTATATTATATTATATTATATTATATTATATTATATTATATTATATTATATTATATTATATTATATTATATTATTATATTATATTATTATAATAATATAATATAATATTATAATATATAATATATAATATAATAATATTATAATAGTATAATATAATATATAATAATATAATATAATATACAATAATATAATATAATAATATTATAATATAATATACAACAATATAATATAATAATATTAGAATAATATAATATAATATAGTTGTTGTTTGTTTTATCACACTAACAGAGGGAGAGGGAAGCTTCAGAAGTTCCCCCTGTCCCATTTGGAGTTTTTTTTTTAGCATATTGCGCAATCGCGTCCGCCATTAACGAATCGATTCGTAATTTTACGAAATTTCGTATATTTCGAAATTTTTAAAAGGAAAATTTCGGAATTCTTTAAAAAAACGAAACGCAAGGGCCCCCTAAAAACAAAACGAGTTTAGAACCAATTTTTTCCGTGGTTACCCAAGCCTATCGGGCAAGTTTGCTCTGGATGCATCATCGCTGAGGTTCAGTCTGCTCTTTGGCTGTAGGGTAAACTACAACTCCCGCTATGATGGATCAGTCCCTTCAAACCCCTCCAGTAGGTTGAGTTAGTCAAGGGGGTTCTGTGTGCCAAGTGTGGTCCAGGTCCGTCATCAGTGGAGGTCACAGTTTCTCTGGTTGTGGGTGAACTACAACTCCCAGAAAGGAAGGACAGTTCCCCACAAACATTCCTTCATATCAATTGCCTTTTGCCCTCCCATGTCTTTTTTCTGTCCTGCAGCCTGCCCTGAGGGTTTTTATGGGATGGAGTGTCGAGGGACCTGCCGTTGCCTCAATGGAGCCCATTGCGATCCTGTGATGGGACATTGCCTTTGTCCTCCTGGCTGGATCGGCCCAAACTGCAATCAAAGTATGTGCCTCATGGTCTCAAAAGGTATGGCGTTGGCTGCATGCGCCTGCAAGGTGCCACTCATGTGCCTGTTCCCCTTGCAGCTTGCCAGGCTCACCGCTATGGGGAGAATTGCAGCCAGGAATGCCACTGTTCCAACGGGGCTCCTTGTGACCACATCAGTGGGAAGTGCCTCTGTGCGCCTGGATGGACGGGAGACACCTGTCAGCAAGGTATTAACAGCTAATATTACAATATAACTAGTATCTACGAAATCCATTTTTTTTCTTTATCAATCCACGAGTTTCATTGCATAAGTCGGTGTGGTGAATCTAACCTTTTGCCAGGAAGGCCGAAGCCTGGAAAGTCAGTAGCTGACATGTTGAGAGATAGGCAGGAGAGCTAAGAGGCAAGAGGGAGGAGTCAGCCGACTCCTGATTGGCTAGAGCAGTCAGGGGAGGAGTTAGGTTTTAGAGGGAAAAAAGGCTGTGTCTTTTGACAAGCTGGAGAGAAGAGCTTTAAACATCATAGAGTGAAGAAGTATTTTAGGAAGAGGGAGCTGAGAGGAATTTAGACAGGGAGAGAGAACATTTGAAGTGAGCCTTGGGGTTAGAGCATAGGAAAGGCAAAGGTTCCTGAGTCACTGTACATAGTAGGGTCAGTGAAGGAAAGCCTGGTTTGCTCTGCAAGGCAGTCAGTGGGTTGTTCTCAGGGACACACTGTGTCAGTGTAGTGAACAGTGTGAAGCAAGGAACTCACAAGAAACAAAAATTAAAGTCTTAAGAGAAGACTGTTTGTCTAACCAGCTAAGCCTCTGAAACGCATTACGCTTATGTACCACTCATATTAAGAGTTGATTTGTTCACCAAGTTTAAAATAAACCTGTTTCTAATTTTCATCTTAACCTCGTGTCTGCCTCGGTCTGTCACTCTCAATAGATCTCAGCAAGCCTAAAGTCAACTTAATTTCAGTCCGGTCAGCAAGAGAAGCAGCCATTAAAGAAGAGCAAGAGCTTGAATCCACTTTACCTATTTCACATTCACACTTATGTTTTCCTCAGACATTAATTGAGGTGGTGGTGGCGAAACTACCAATTACATCAGTAATTAACACCGTTAATACAGTTGGTCACTTGATAGTAATACTGAGGTGGAATAAGAGAGTCTTTCCCCCTTGTCATAGTCTTTTTATCATCATTAAAGTAGTGTCCAGTTGAACGTTAACATCTTTACACTGCTGGCAGAGTGGGATTGCCTTCCCCCCTGCCAAGATTGACGTTGATCTTCGTTATAGTCGGTAATTCAGATTTGCATTTTGAAGTTTCGTTGTAGGGTTGCTGTGAGTTTCCCAGGCTGTATGTCCATGTTCCAGAACTATTCTTAATAGATTAGAGAGATGGGCCAAAACTAACAAAATGAAGTTCAGCAGTGAGAAATGCAAGATACTCCACTTAGGCAGAAAAAAAGGAAATGCAAAGATACAGAATGGGGGACGATGCCTGGCTCGAGAGCAGTACGTGTGAAAAAGATCTTGGGGTCCTTGTGGACAACAAGTTAAACATGAGCCAACAATGTGATGTGGCGGCAAAAAAAGCCAATGGGATTTCGGCCTGCATCAAGAGGAATCTAGTGTCTAGATTCAGGGAAGTCATGCTCCCCATGCTCTATTCTGCTTTGGTTAGACTACACCTTGAATATTGTGTCCAATTCTGGACACCACAATTGAAGAGAGATATTGACAAGCTGGAATGTGTCCAAAGGAGGGTGACTGAAATGATCATGGGTCTGGAGAACAAGCCCTATGAGGAATGGCTTAAAGAGCTGGTCATGTTTAGCCTGAAGAAGAGAAGGCTGAGAGGAGGCATGGTAGCCATGTATAAATACGTGAGAGGAAGTCACAGGGAGGAGGGAGCAAGCTTGTTCTCTGCTTCCCTGGAGACTAGGATGTGGAGCAATGGCTTCAAACTACAAGAAAGGAGATTCCATCTGAACATAAGGAAGAACTTCCTGACTGTGAGAGCCATTCAGCAGTGGAACTCTCTGCCCTGGAATGTGGTGGAGGCTCCTTCTTTGGAAGCTTTTAAACAGAGGCTGGATGGCCATCTGTCAGGGGTGCTTTGAATGCAATATTCCTTGGCAGAATGGGGTTGGACTGGATGGCCCATGAGGTCTCTTCCAACTCTAGGATTCTATGACATTTTGTTTTGTTATAGTTTGATGGTCCTCCTTTTATGTCTCATCTGCGGTTTTCTAGAGAAGAAATTACCTCACAGACCGATTGGAAAGGCTTTATTTCTCAAAGCATACAGTACGGTTACAAGCAAAGTTCCATCTGACAGTTGCTTTCTCTCTCCCTCACTGTGGCTCTCCCCTTCACCATCTCATTTCCATGGAAACTCTCTCCCTTGCTTCAAGTGCGCTACAGACCAAGGAATGGCCTACTTTCATGGTTTCCCACAACACCAGGAAAGGAGGTCATGACATCCTTGATTACACTATGTAACAAAATTTAACTCAGGTATATAGGTATCCAAATCAAGCACCTAATGATAACACTGTGCAACAAAATTTGATTTTTTTTGTTTCTAGTTTGAATTTCCTGTTTAATTGTTTGGTCCTTACTTTGAAAGTAGCTGTTTCCTCCAGAAACCCTGAAATCACAGGTCCGCAGTTTGGGGGTCCTCCTGGACTCACCGCTGACGCTTGATGCGCTGGTGTCAGCGGTAGCCGGGAGGGCCTTCACACAATTAAAACTTGTGTGCCAACTGCGACCTTACCTCCAGAAATCTGACTTGACCATGGTGGTTCATGCCTTAGTTACCTCTAGACTAGACTACTGTAATGTATTCTACATGGGGCTACCCTTGAAGACGGTCCGGAAATTACAACTTGTCCAACGTTCGGCAGCCAGATTAATAATTGGGGATAGTTATAGGGAGTGGTCTACCCCCCTGTTTAAGGAGCTCCATTGGCTGCCGTTTATCTTCCGGTCCCAATTCAAGGTGCAGATTATCTATATATATAAAATCCAAAAGGGCGTCGTTAGGGGCCGCAAAACACGAAAAAACCCGGACGAAAAATCACCAAACTTGGCGTACGCATACCTCAAACCACAAGGTATGCAGAACACTCATCGCAACTCAAAAAAACATAACAACAAACTCACCATTACACAACCAAACGGAGCATGCGCAGAGGAGTCCCGGTGCGAGTCGCCCGGCGCGCGCACATGGCCGCACCACGCCTCCTCCGTGCAAGCCACACCCTCTCCCATCGCCACCTCGCCCCTTCCCCCATGCCAAACCGAGCGCGGCCTAGGCACCGACGCTGAAGCCCTGGCCTGGGAGTGGGAGCTCACCTGCCTGTGTGTGCTGGGGGCCGGCCTGGTGCACGTGCGGCATGGGGGGCTGTCCACCTTCCACGGGCCCGGACAGCTGGTGGCCTTCCCGGGGCTGGACCAGCGGAGGCTGCCTGGGAGGCCCCTGCTGCGCGCCTTCACGGCCCACCCGGGAGAGGCCGCAACCCGCCTCTCCCGAGGACAGCCCATCAGCCTCCGCCACGCCCAGCCCAGGCCGCCCCTGCACACCGGTGTCTGGCTCCAGGGAAGGAAGGACGCCGCCATCGGGGATGAGGAGGAATGGGAAGGAGGGAAGGAAGCGGGTGAGGGAAGGACGGAAATGAGGGGAAGGGGTGTAAATAGGAAGGAAGGAAGGAAGGAAGGCAGGCAGGAAGAAAAGAAGGAAAGAAAGAAGAAAAGTGGGAATGGGAAGGGAAGGTGTAGGAAGGAAGGAAGGAAAGAAGGAAGGCAGGTATATCAGAGAAGAAAGGTAGGAAATAAACAAAAGGAGGGAAGGGAAGGTGTATGAAAAAAGGAAGGAAGGAGAAGTTGGGAAAGTATATGAGGGAAGAAAGGTAGGAAAGAAAGAAGAAAGAGAGAGTAGGAGCATGGGAAACAAGGGAGAAAGGAAGGAAGGAAGAAGAAAGGAGCGGAAGGGAAGGTGTAGGAAGGAAGGAAGGAAGGACAGAAGAAAAGGGAAGGGAGGAAAGAAAGCAAATGAAGAAAAGAAAGAAAGAAAGAAAGAAAGAAAGAAAGAAAGAAAGAAAGAAAAGGAAGTATGGAACTACAGAGCGAAGGAAGGAAGGAAAGAGAAAGAGAGGGAAGAAAGGAGACAAAGAGGAAGGAAAAGAAAAAGGGAGGAGGAAGGAAAGAGGTACAGAAGGAAGGAGGAGAGAAGGAAAGAAAAAAGGGAAGGGAGGAAAGACGCAGCAAAGGAAAAAGAGAAAGAAGGAGAGAAAGATGCAGGGAAGGAAAGAAATAAGGAGAAGGAAGGATGAAAGCAAACAGCTAAGGAAGGAAGTAAACAGGTAGAGAAGGAAGAAAGGAAAGAAGAAAACGGAATGAAGGAAGGAGTGAAAGAAGCAGAGAAAGAGGGAGAGAAGGCTGACCACAGCAACGCATGGCGGGTAAAGCTAGTCACCTATAAAGCTCTAAACGGTTTGGGACCCACCTACCTTGGTGACCGTTTCTCCCTCCATGAACCAATTTGGGCCCTCCGATCTTCTGGGGAAGCCCTTCTTTTGCCCCTGCCAGTTTCACAAGTTCGCCTTGTAAGTACAAGGGAGAGAGCTTTTTCCTCTGTGGCCCCCGACTCTGGAACTCATTACCTGGAGATATTAGGAAAGCCCCTACCTTAGAAACCTTTAAAAAGGACCTTAAAACCTGGCACTTCCGGGACGCCTTTGGTGAGTAGGTATACAACCTCACACTATTGCTCAACGTTCTGTCATTGGCGTATATGTTATGTATTCACATGTTTTATGTAATTATGATGCTGTTGTTTATTGTTTGCGTTTTCGGTTTGCGTTTTCGGTTTTACTCTGTTGTAATTTGTTGTTTGGGCTTGGCCTCATGTAAGCCGCCCCGAGTCCTTATCAGGGAGATGGTGGCAGGGTATAAATAAAGTATTATTATTATTATTATTATTATGACTGTCACAAACGATGTTGAATTGATCGAGACTCTATGAGATATTCATTGAAAAACTACACCAAAATGTGCTATAGCAGGATGTCCCTCCCACCAAAACAAAGTTTTTCCAATTTAATAAACTTTTCCCATGTTTTTATGATGGAACCAATTAGGAAATGACATTTATGACCTAGGAATAAATTATTGTTATTATTGTTTTTCTTCTTTTCAAAGTCTGTCCAGATGGCTTCTATGGTGCAGGCTGCCAACTACCGTGCCTCTGTCAACACGGTGGGATGTGTGATCCCGTCACTGGACTCTGTACATGCCCAGAGGGATGGATCGGATTGGCCTGTGAACTAGGTAGGAACCTCCGACAAAGAATCCAAGAGATTATCAGCAAGAGAGAGAAAAGCAGGACTCCCCACACACCCCAACTCCCTGAGATTAGTGCAAAAATACAACTGGGTTGATGCATGATACGGATGCAGAAATACAATGCGATAGATGGGTGATATTAATTTGCTCAAAATACTGCCACTCTGTAATAGTCAATAAAAACTTTACTATTCTGCTGGGCCCATAACCATGGCCAGGATAATTAGATAGCCAAAGTATTGGGTTGTTGTAGGTTTTTTCAGGCTATATGGCCATGTTCTAGAGGCATTCTCTCCTGACGTTTCGCCTGCATCTATGGCAAGCATCCTCAGAGGTTGTGAGGTCTGTTGGAATTAAGAAAATCTATATAAATAAAAATGTAATGTTAGTTCGTGCTACTATCAGAACTCAAAAACCACTGGGGGAATTGACACCAAATTTGGACACAAGACACCTAACAGTCCAATTTATGTTCTCCACTCAAAAAAATTGATTTTGTCATTTGGGAATTGTCGTTGCTGGGATTTATAGTTCACCTACAATCAAAGAGCATTCCGAACTCCACCAATGATGGAATTGGGCCAAACTTAGCACACAGGGCTCCCATGACCAACAGAAAAAACTGGAAAGGTTTGGTGGACATTGACCTTGAGTTTGGGAATTATAGTTCACCCACATCCAGAGAGCACTGTGGACTCAAACAATGATGGATCTGGACCAAACTTGGCACAAACACTCAATACGCCAAAATACGAACACAGATGGAGTTCAGGGAAAATAGACCTTGACATTTGGGAGTTGCAGTTGCTGGGATTTATAGTTCACCTACAATCAAAGAGCATTCTGAACTCCACCAATGATGGAATTGAACCAAACATGGCATACAGGACTTCCATGACCAACAGAACACACTGGAAGGGTTTGGCGGGCATTGACCTTGAGTTTGGGAGTTGTAGTTCACCTACATCCAGAGAGCACTGTGGACTCAAACAATGATGGATCTGGACCAAACTTGACACAAAAATTCCATATGCCTAAATATGAACACAGATGGAGTTTGGAGGAAATAGACCTTGACATTTGGGATTTGTACTTACTGGGATTTATAGTTCACTACAATGAAAGAGCATTCTGAAACCCACAAACAACAGAAATGGGGCAAACTTCCCACACAGAACCCACATGACCAACAGAAAATACTTAAGGCCATCCAGTCCAACTCTCTTCACCAGGGCAAGAAAATGTAATCAGAACCCTCCTGACAGAGAGCCATCCAGTCATAAATATAGATAGATAGATAGATAGATAGATAGATAGATGATAGATAGATATGATTCTCTCTCTCACACACATAGTATCATAGATTTGAAAGAGACCCTTAAAGAAGGACTATGATATGTTGCATGTTCCAGAGTAGGCAAACCAGAAACTCTCCACATCAACACTGACAAAGAAACAACAAGAAATACTGTTTACTCACAAGCATAAAGGAATTACATATATTAGAAACCAACACTTTCTCATTACTTTATTTTCCAGATCACCAGACTGGGCCACAGCAACACCTGGCAGGGGACAGCTAGTGGGTTTATTCCATATCTGTGGAATGACCAGGGTGGGACAGAGAACTTTTGTCTGTTGGAGCTAGGTGTGAATGTTTCAAGTGACCACCTTGATTAGCACTTGATGGCCTGGCAGTTGTTTGGTGTGGCTTGTTAGTGCCTGGGGCAATCTTTTGTTGAGAGGTGATTGTTTCCATTCTGTCACGCACTGGGCCTATAATAATTTACTTTTGGAATAGGACGTGCACCTTGTGCCCAGCGGGAAGCCAGGGGCGCCTCGAAAGAGGCCTTTAAGGATTTTCCTGTAGAGATAGTCTTTAGAGTCTTTAATGATGTAACAAAGTCCTTTATTATTGAACAAATCCAACAGATATTTCTCAAATCTTCAATGGGTCAAACAAATGCTTCAAGGCTTTGAATTGACTGGTGGCTTCCTTAATCTTGTCCACAAGGGACAGGCAACTGTCTTCATTAACTATTCCTTTACTTTAGAGGAAAACCCTTTTTTAACCTCTTCCAGGCTGACTATAATCTAATCCTTACTGATGTGGCTCCTACTACCAGATTCAAACTGCGTCTTGAGCACCGAGTAGACCTACCAGACAAAGCTTGCAGATTCTCCAGCTGGAGTTTTCTGGGTCTGTAAAGCTGTTTTCCCTCTGGAAATTCTTAGAGACTTTAGGGCTGTTTCCCTCAGATGCCGTAAGGCTGAGAGGCTGTGAGCTCTCTGCCAGAGGTTTGGGACTGTTTTCCCCTGGAATGTCCCTGGAATTTCCTGGACTTCACTTTCCCTGGATGATCTTAAGAAATGAAGCTTTTGTACAGGTGAAGCTTGTCCACATCCTCTAACTTAGCTTTCCTCACTAAGACTAACTAAAATGGTTCCCTTCCCATGTCCTTGGGAGAAGGGACGGATCCAAACTTAACAATGATAGACAAGTGGCTTGCCCTATGACTGCAAACCAAAGGAAGCCACCTTTTTGCAGAATCCCTGAAACTTTAGAATGCATGCAAACACTTAATAGAAAGAAAATAAAATTGGAGCTCCTGGTACAGACATACTAGCACGGTTTCCTCTCTGTTGTTTTGCTGTTGTAATTTTACAGTTTTTAAATACTGGTAGCCAGATTTTGTTCATTTTCATGGTTTCCTCCTTTCTGTTGAAATTGTCCACATGCTAATAATAATAATAATAATAATAATAATAATAATAATAATAATCTTTATTAATACCCCGCCACTATCTCCCCAATGGGGACTCAGAGCGGCTTACATGGGGCCATGTTACAGCAAAATAAAACCAGAACATAAACAACAAGCAACATCAACAAAATTACATTGAAAAAAGTATAAAGACAGTAACAAAATAATATTCCAATAAACACAATCACAATAACAGTAGGCGGGCCACATGTACAGGATAAAATGATTAAAAGACTCTAATGAGATAAAAATAGGAGCAGGTTATTTGCAGGGAGTTCATAAAAACACACAGGGTTGTGGAACTAAACTTCCCATTTGGAGGGCGTGTACTCCACTGGCAGAAGCATTGAGGGAAGCAATAGTGTCGTGTTGTCCACCTACTCGCCAAAGGCGCAGCAGAAGAGCCAGGTTTTAAGGTTCTTTTTTAACGTTTCTAGTGAAGGGCCTTATGGATTTCAGTGGCTTCTCTGTGTAATCTGACATGGAGGTTGTTAGAGTGGTCCAGCATTTCTGTGTTCTCAAATAATATGCTGTGTCCAGGTTGGTTCATCAGGTGCTTTTGCTACAACAGCAAAACAACAGAGAGGAAACAATCAGGGACAGCTAACCACCTCTCAACAAAAGATTGCCCCAGGCACTAACAAGCCACACCAAACAACTGCCAGGCCATCAAATGCTAATCAAGGTGGTCAGTTGAAACATTCACACCTAGCTCCAACGGACAAGAGTTCTTTGTCCCACCCTGGTCATTCCACAGATATATAAACCCATTTTCCTAGTTCCAACAGACCTCTGAGGATGCTTGCTATAGATGCAGGCGAAATGTCAGGAGAGAATGCCTCTATAGCCCGAAAAAACCTACAACAACCCAGTGATTCCAACCATGAAAGCCTTCGGCAATACAGCCAAAGTATTCATTCTTGAAAACTGATGTGGGGAGTTTTGACATTATTTCTCCTACTGACATTTTTGAAATCATTGCGCTGAAATGTTCTCTTTCCTGTAGAGTGCCCTGAAGGAAAGTATGGGCATGGTTGCCAAGAAAACTGTGGTTGTCTCCATGGAGGGCTTTGTGACCAAGAGACCGGGCACTGCCGTTGCCATCCTGGATGGACCGGAGAGAAGTGCCAAAGCCGTAAGTAGAAAGAACGCCTGCACATCTTGCAATTGCTGGCCTGTAATATTTTGGAGCATCTTCTCAGTCGACCTTTCAACTGAGGTCAGATACTATTAAAAGCAGAATTCTAGCCAGCCCTCCATGTCCAGGAGTTTGGGGGCATATGAGCCCCTGAGAGTGGAAATAGAAAGCCCCAGAGACTCTTTCTTTAGGAATCCCCAGTTGCTCCAAACTCAATGGTCCACTTCTGCTGATAGCGATTCCTGGATAAGTATTCTCTCTAGGTCCTTGAGAACATAAAGTCAAACTGGAGGACCTCCAAAAGCTTGGACAGGCATTCCTTCTGAGAATCTCTGGATCTTCCGATCAATAGTTTTCCAAGTATCTCATGCAGCAGATGGGCAGGGTGGTTACTCCAAGATTTTGGCCTGCATCAGTAGGAGTCTAGTGTCTAGATCCAGGGAAGTCATGCTAGCCATGCTCTATTCTGCCTTGGTTGGACCACACCTGGAATATTGTGTCCAATTCTGGGCACCACAATTCAAGAGAGATGTTGACAAGCTGGAATGTGTCCAGAGGAGGGCGACTAAAATGATCAAGGGTGTGGAGAACAAGCCCTATGAGGAGCGGCTTAAAGAGCTGGGCATGTTTAGCCTGAAGAAGAGAAGGCTGAGAGGAGATGTGATAGCCATGTATAAATATGTGAGAGGAAGCCACAGGGAGGAGGGCACAAGCTTGTTTTCTGCTTCCCTGGAGACAATGGCTTCAAACTACAAGAAAGGAGATTCCATCTGAACATGAGGAAGAACTTCCTGACTGTGAGTTCAGCAGTGGAACTCTCTGCCCCAGAGTGTGATGGAAGCTCCTTCTTTGGAAGCTTTTAAACAGAGGCTGGATGGCCATCTGTCAGGGGTGATTTGAATGCAATATTCCTGCTTCTTGGCAGGAGGGTTGTCAGGTTTTATAATGTACTAGCTGTGCCCTGCCACGCGTTGCTGTGGCCTATAGTAAATCTTTTCAAAGTAGAGGTAGATATCTGGACTATTATGAAAGAGAGGTACCTACCTATTCCTTCCCCCCTTTTCTCCCCCTTTCTCTCCTTTCTTCCTTCTCTACCTCTTTCTTTCCTTCTTTCCTTCTTTCGCTCCTTGGTTTCATCCTTCTCTTTTTCCTTCATTCCCTCCCCCTTTCTTCCTTTGCCTCCATTCTTCCCTCCATGTTTCCTTCCTTCTTTCACTTTTTATTTTCTTTTCTCCTTCCTTTACCTCTTTCCTGCCTCTCCTTCCTTTTATTTTTCTTTCCTTTCTACTTTCTCTTCTTCCTTCCTTTGGTACCTCTTTCCTTCCTTCCTTCCTTCCTTCCTTCCTTCCTTCCTTCCTTCCTTCCTTCCTTCCTTCTTTCCTTCCCAATGCTTACCAAACCCTTCTCGTGCTTTCTGTTGAGTCATGGGAGTCCTGTGTGCCACGTTTGGTTTAATTCCGTCGTTGGTGGAGTTCAGAATGCTTTGATTATTGGTAAACTATAAATCCCTGCAGCTACAACTCCCAAATGACAATATCATTTTTTTAGCATCGGTGGGTGTGGGCGGGGCTTCCGCGGAGGGGGGTGGGTGGGGGAGGAGGAGGAGTGTTTTGGCGTGTGCCGAGGACTTGCGGGGCGCCATTGCGCATGCTCAGTTGTTTTGTCTATTTGTGAGTGTGTTTTAATGTTGTTTATCATTTTGAATCGATTTGTCCATACCTTGTGGGTTGAGGTATGTGCATGGGAATTTTGGTAAATTTTCGTCGGGGTTTTTTTGAGTTTTGCTGTCCCGTTGGACGCCCTTAACAGATTTATATATATAGATTGTAATGTAATATAGCTGAGTCCTGCACTGCTAATAGGCTTCTATTGGAAATGCTGAGTCATGCATTAACTGTATATAGGGAATCATTTGGGGAATGTGTTCTGGCCTAGTCCAGGTGATTGTGAATGATGTAATCCTGGGTCTGAGTTAAGTCAATGAGTTGGGAACCAATCAGAGATTGCTATTTGTAAAGGTACAGAATTGTATATAAGGAAGTCATGTACAGTGTATTCTCTCTCCTCGTGCTGTGATGCTGTTTGTTGAAGGCTATATGTAATTAAAAGAACCTGTCTGCTAAGACAAGATATAACTGTGTCCTGTGGTACGTTTGTAATGTCATCTAGATTGGGGGAACGACAATGGTAAAACTGACAATGACCGGGCATGTGCTCAAGTGTCTGTAAAAGAGTTCCAGAGTGACTGTAGTTTGTGGGAGCAGTTGACTGAAAATACTGTGCAGGAAGAAGCTACTGGAAAGCGCTGAAGTTGTGCAACTGATCTGCTGCTGAATTGTGAAATTAATCTCAACAGGGTTGGACTGGATGGCCCATGAGGTCTCTTCCAACTCTTTGATTCTATGATTCTCTAAGCCAGTGGTTCTCAACCTTCCTAATGCCGTGACCCCTTAAGACAGTCCTTCATGTGGTGGTGACCCCCAACCATAACATTGATTTTGTTGATACTTCATAACAGTCATTTTCCTACTGTTATAAATCAATGTAAATATCAGATATGCAAGATGTATTTTCATTCACTGGACCAAACTGGGCACCAAACATGTAAATGCTAGTGGGGTTGGGGGAGGCCTGATTTTGTAATTTGGGAGTTGTAGTTGCTGGGATTTATAGTTCACCTATAATCAAAGAGCATTCTGAACTCCACCAGTGATGGATTTGAACCTAATTTTCCACACAGAACTCCCATGACCAACAGAAAACACTGGAAGGGTTTGGTGGGTATTGACCTTGAGTTTTGAAGTTGTAGTTCACCTACATCCAGAGAGCACTGTGGACTCAAACAATGATGGATCTGGAACAAACTTGGCAYGAATACTCAACATGCCCAAATGTGAACACAGTTGGAGTTTGGGGGAAATAGACCTTGACTTTTGGGAGTYGTAGTTGCTGGGATTTATAGTTCACTACAAACAAAGAACATTCTGAGCTCCACCAATGATAGAATGGGCTCAAACTTCCCGCATGGAATCCCCTTGACCATCAGAAAATACTGTGTTTTCAGATGGTCTTTGGCGACCCCTCTGACACCCCTTCGCGACCCCCTCAGGGGTCCCGACCCCCAGGTTGAGAAACACTGCTCTAAGCCTTTTGATCATAGTATTTCCTCCTTGCTTTCTGGTATTTTTATGGTGTCATAAATTAACCTCCCTGCTTTAAGCGGTCCCTAATTTCTCTACTCACAGCACAGCTATTTTTAAACTGCTTAGGTGAATAGTAAGCTGTGCTATGTAACAGTCGGGAGTTCAGCCCCAACTCGGGCTTTGAACTTGCCACCTTTCAATCGGCAGTGATTTATTGCAGCTAGCGATTAACCAGCTGTGCTACAGCCCGGCCCATTTGCACCATGACATCAACTGCTGGATCGAAAGTCCACACTTATGCAAACCCCATTGATTCAGTGGGTCTCTTCTAGAGGCAGATTTCCCTCTTGGCTGAACACAAAAGGCTTTCTTCAAAGCGGTGCAGTCCAAATGGAGAAATTGGCTGGCAATCTATGAGGAGAAAAAAAGTTGTGTAAGTCGCTCAAAGGTTAAGCTGTTGAAAAAAAAGAGATTCTTGTAAGCCTCCTATAAAAGGGCTTTCCTGTTCTTCCCCCCCCTTAAAATTGGCAGAGAACACCCTCACGTATCTCTTGCCCAATTGGCCAAGTTTCAGAATAACTGGTTGGGTCATTTTGTAGGTCGAAGCCATCATACTTCCTCCCAATTTCCAGTTACTGGAGTCGAGGGTGATTCCACTGCAACTAGACTCGTAACTGCTCACATTTGATCCTACTGGGCTTGTTAAAGAAGAAAGCTCAGAGATAGAATCATAGAATGATAGAATCAAAGAGTTGGAAGAGACCTCCTGGGCCATCCAGTCCAACCCCATTCTGCCAAGAAGCAGGAATATTGCATTCAAAGCACTCCTGACAGATGGCCATCCAGCCTCTGCTTAAAAGCTTCCAAAGAAGGAGCCTCCACCACACTCCGGGGCAGAGAGTTCCACTGCTGAACGGCTCTCACAGTCAGGAAGTTCTTCCTCATGTTCAGATGGAATCTCCTCTCTTGTAGTTTGAAGCCATTGTTCCCTTGTGTCCTGGTCTCCAAGGAAGCAGAAAACAAGCTTGCTCCCTCCTCCCTGTTGCTTCCTCTCACATATTTATACATGGCTATCACATGTCCTCTCAGCCTTCTCTTCTTCAGGCTAAACATGCCCAGCTCCTTAAGCCGCTCCTCATAGGGCTTCTTCTCCGGACCCTTGATCATTTTAGTTACCCTCCTCTGGACATATTCCAGCTTAGAGTCAATATCTCTTCAATTGTAGTGCCCAGAATTGGACACAATATTCCAGGCGTGGTCTAATCAAGGCAGAATTGAGCATGGGGAGCATGACTTCCCTAGATCTAGACACTATGCTCTTATTGATGCAGGCCAAAATCCCATTGGCTTTTCTTGCCGCCACATCACATTGATGGGATTTGACCTCGATGGGGCCGGTGATTTAGATAGGGCTGATCGCTTGGAACTGAAAGTGGGAAGGAGTGTCAGGATCGCCGGGAGGCAAGAAAGAGAAGCCCGAGGCCATAGGAACGCCTTCATGCTGGCCCAAGAGTATTAAACAGTCTGTTTGAATGTGCCTCAGTGTCAGAGCAACTTCACGCTTTAATCAAGAGACTTTGGGATTTATCTTGTAGCCTTTCATGTTCATTTTCCAAGACTTTGTCATGCACTTAAGGGACTTTGCCTTGCCTGTGTCTTCATGGATCTTGTTTGCCTGTTACCTTGGATTGATCTTTTGAAATATACTTTTGCTTTTTGAACTTTTTATCTTTTATCTATGTATATAATAAAAGTCAGTGTTTGTATGCGGAGGGAGGGTGGTGTATGTGGCAGCTTTCTGATTGGCTGACACTTTCACAGGCCACTGTGACAAGCATGGATGGCGGACCTGGACCAAACTTGGCACACATAACCCCCATGACCCCCTTTACATCCTGGTAACAACAAAGGATGATGGGATTTGTAGTACTTTCAAACCCTTTGGTTCCCATAGACCACTGTGGCCCCCAACAAAGACTGATAAAGACCAACCTTGGCACACAGAGCCCCCGTGACCCACTCTACATCCTACTGCAGTTTGGAGGAGGCCATGGATGATGGGACTTGAAGTACCCCCACTCAATTCCCGAAACCACTGCGACCCTCATCCAATGACCAATCAAGACCAAACTTGGCACACATAACCCCCATGACCCTTTTTACTATCTGGTGAGGGTTGGGGGAGGACGGACGATGGATGATGGGATTTGTAGTACTTTCCCAACTATTTTGTTCCCATAGACTACTGTGGCCCCCAACAAAGACAGATAAAGACCAAACTTGACACACAGAGCCCCTGTGACCCAGTCTACATCCTACTGCTGCATGGAAGAGGGTGGGCAATGGATGATGGGACTTGCAGTACCTCCACTCACTTCCCAAGACCACTGCAACCCTCATCCAAGGACTAATCAAGACCAAACTTGACACACAGAGCCCCCATGACCCACTCTACTTCCTGGTGCAATTTTGAGGACAGACCATGGATGATGGGACTTCAAGTACCTCCACTCACTTCCCAAGACTGCTCCAATCCTCAACTAATGACCGATCAAGACCAAACTTGGCACACAGAGCCCCCATGACCCACTCTCCATCCTGGTGCAGTTTGGAGGAGGATGGACCACAGATGGGACTCGCTGTACCTTCACTAACATCCTGAGACAACTGCAAGCCATATAAATAACTGATAAAGACCAACCTTGATACACAATTCCTTTCTCAAATAACCCACGCAGCGCCAGGTCCCTAAGCTAGTTTTAAATAAAACTACAAAGACAACTGCTGGTGTGTTCTTTGGTGTCTTAAGCAAGGTGGTTCTCCTCTGACAGTTTTCCTGCTTGGAAGAATGAGGTTGGACTGCATGATCCTTGGGGTGCTCTTCCAATTCTTTGAATCTATGATTCTATTTTTGAATCCACCGATACACAAGTCATGGATAGGGAGGGCTGGTAGAATCTGTATTCAACACAAAAATAATAATATCAACCAGTGGGTTGATGCTATTGTAATTGGTCAGTTTTTTTAAAGCGGTCAATCAAATAAGTGGATTAGGCTGACATTGAACCCCCTTTTGTGTCTTTCTCGTCTCCCTGCAGCATGCCCAGAGGGAACACATGGAAGAGAGTGCAAGGAGCTGTGCGACTGTGAGCGTGGAGTCCAGTGCCATCCCGTCACAGGGGCCTGCGACTGCCCACTGGGATGGAGAGGACAGCGCTGTGAGAAAAGTAAGGCTGAAGGAACTTGTGAGTCTTGAGATAAAGTCAACTATGTCTTTTTTTACACAGTGGTCAGTCCTCTTTTACCTTGTTTGAGTCCCCAGATATTATGATAACTCCTGTTCCTTTTGAAGAACTTCCTGACTGTGAGAGCCGTTCAGCAGTGGAACTCTCTGCCCCGGAGTGTGGTGGAGGCTCCTTCTTTGGAAGCTTTTAAGCAGAGGCTGGATGGCCATTTGTCAGGGGTGATTTGAATGCAATATTCCTGCTTCTTGGCAGAATGGGGTTGGACTGGATGGCCCATGAGGTCTCTTCCAACTCTTTGATTCTATGATTCTATGATGATCCACCTTGCCAAATATTTATTTGTTGTGTCAGAAGCAAATTGAGAATACAGTTTTCATCTATATAAATAAAAATGTAATGTTAGTTCGTGCTACCATCAGAACTCAAAAACCACTGGGGGAATTGACACCAAACTTGGACACATAACAGTCCAATTTATGTCCTCCACTCAAAAAAATAGATTTTGTCATTTGGGAATTGTCGTTGCTGGGATTTATAGTTTACCTACAATCAAAGAGCATTCTGAACTCCACCAATGATGGAATTGGGCCAAACTTAGCAAACAGGGCTCCCATGACCAACAGAAAAACTGGAAGGGTTTGGTGGACATTGACCTTGAGTTTGGGAATTGTAGTTCACCCACATCCAGAGAGCACTGTGGACTCAAACAATGATGGATCTGGACCAAACGTGGCATGAATATTCCATATGCCCAAATATGAACACAGATGGAGTTTAAGGGAAATAGACCTTGACATTTGGGAGTTGTAGTTGCTGGGATTTATAGTTCACCTACAATCAAAGAGCATTCTGAACTCCACCAAACATGGCATACAGGACTTCCATGACCAACAGAACACACTGGAAGGGTTTGGTGGGCATTGACCTTGAGTTTGGGAGTTGTAGTTCACCTACATCCAGAGAGCACTGTGGACTCAAACAATGATGGATCTGGACCAAACTTGGCACGAATATTCCATATGCCCAAATATGAACACAGATGGAGTTTAAGGGAAATAGACATTGACATTTGGGAGTTGTAGTTGCTGGGATTTATAGTTCACCTACAATCAAAGAGCATTCTGAACTCCACCAATGATGGAATTGAACCAAACATGGCATACAGGACTTCCATGACCAACAGAACACACTGGAAGGGTTTGGTGGGCATTGACCTTGAGTTTGGGAGTTGTAGTTCACCTACATCCAGAGAGCACTGTGGACTCAAACAATGATGGATCTGGACCAAACTTGACATGAATATTCCATATGCCCAAATATGAACACAGATTGGAGGAAATAGACCTTGACATTTGGGATTTGTAGTTACTGGGATTTATAGTTCACTGCAATTAAAGAGCATTCTGAAACCCACAAAAGACAGAAATGGGGCAAACTTCCCACACAGAACCCCCATGACCAACAGAAAATACTTAAGGCCATCCAGTCCAACTCTCTTCACCAGGGCAAGAAAATGTAATCAGAGCCCTCCTGACAGAGAGCCATCCAGTCATAAATATAGATAAGATATGATTCTCTCTCACACACACACTGATATATCATAGATTTGAAAGAGACCCTTAAAGGACTATGATATGTTGCATGTTCCAGAGTAGGCAAACCAGACACTCTCCACATCAACACTGACAAAGAAACAACAAGAAATACTGTTTACTTACAAGCAGAAAGGAATTGCATATATTAGAAACCAACACTTTCTCATTACTTCATTTTCCAGATCAACAGACTGGGCCACAGCAATGCGTGGCAGAGCACAGCTAGTGTATTTAAAAAACCACAAACATAGTTAAAAACTTGGCATTATGCTAAATGTTATCTTTGACCAGAAGCTGGCCACTTGGAGAGCTTCTGGTGTTGCTGTAAGAAGGTCCTCCATTGTTCATGTGGCAGGGCTCAGAATGCATTGTAGTCAGTGGTCTGTGGTTTGCTCTTCTACACCCAAACAGAGGATGGGCCGGAGATGTCACTGCCTTGGTCCTTTCATTACTGGCTGCTACTTCCCGGAGGATATCCGTTGGTACAATAGACATCCTGTAATAATCCAGCATGTCTCATTAAGAGCCACATCCACTGTTTTAACATGGTGAGATGTATTCCACACTGGGTGTACAAATTCAGCAGCAGAGTAGCAAAGCGCAAGGGCAGTGTCTTCAATGTGTCTGGTTGTGATCCCCAGGCTGTGCCAGTCAGCTTTCATATGATGTTATTTCTAGCACCCACTTTTTTGCTTGACATGCAGTGCTTCTTGTAAGTCAGTGCACAGTCCAAAGTGACTCCCAGGTGTTTTGGTGTGCTGCAATGCTCCAGTGGGATTCCTTATCAAATAATCCTCAGGACTCGGGATGCTTGTCTGTTCTTAAGATGAAATCACTCTGCATTTTAGATGGATTAGGAATCAGCTGGTTTTCCCTGTAATAGGCAGTAAGAGCAACTAAAGCTTCAGAGAGCTTCTGTTCAACTATTTCAAAGCTCCCTGCTTGAGTGGTGATGGCGCAATCATCAGCATAGATGAAACTCTCTGTCCCTTCTGGCAGTGGCTGATCATTTGTGTAAATGTTAAACATTGATGGAGCAAGCATGCTCCTCTGAGGCAGGTTGTTCTTCTGTTTTTGCCATCTGCTTCTTTGGTCCTGGACCTCAACAAAAAAGGCTCCTGTTTTGTAGCAGATTTCCTATGGGGCGGGTGATGTGGTAATCCTTTGTGATATTATCAATTTTTCTCAGGAGAAGGTGATGATTTACGGTATCATATGCTGCTGACAGATAGTAGCTGATAATTATTATAAAATACTAGCCATCCCCTGCCATGCGTTGCTGTGGCCCAGTCTAGTGATCTTGAAAATAAAGTAATGAGAAAGTGTTGTTTTCTGATATATATGTAATGTCTTTCTGCTTGTGGATATTTCTTGTTGTTTCTTTGTCAGTGTTGATGTAGAGATTGTCTGGTTTGCCTGCTCTGGAACATGGGACATATTATTGTCCTTCTTTAGGGTTCCCTTTCAAATCTATGATACTATATCTGTGTGTGTGTGTGTGTGAATCATATATATCTCTATATCTTAGACTGGGTGGCTCTTTGTCAGGAGAACTTTGTTTATGTTTTCTTGCCCTGGTGAAGGGAGTTGTACTGGATGGCCTTAAGTACGATGCTGTGAAACGTTTTGAAGTCTGTGCCTGAGATTACTCATGAAACCTTTCTAATGTAACCATCAAGATTTGTGCCTCTTGTGAAGAAACAGTTAAACACGTTAGACAATCTAATTGTAAAGAAGACCGTTTTAATGCCACCGAATGCCACCAATTTGTGAAGAAGTGTGGTTAAAGCTTACTGCCACCTAATCTGTGAGGGAAGCCGGGCAACGATCAATATCAGCTTAGGAGCTATTTTATAAAGGGACTATTAATTACAGAAGGCTTTATTCATTTGATAGCGTAGCGTTTACTGTCCCTGGCTTGACTTTACTTCTTATGCAGGCTGTTTGACTTAGGAGAAACTGTATCAGGCAAGGCTTGAGGAAAAACAGTAACAAGCGAATGAAGATCGATGCTTTTGAGCTGTGGTGTTGGAGGAAAGTGCTGAGAGTGCCTTGGACTGCGAGAAGATCCAACCAGTCCATCCTCCAGGAAATAAAGCCCGACTGCTCACTGGAGGGAAAGATACTAGAGACAAAGTTGAAGTACCTTGGCCACATCATGAGGAGACAGGAAAGCCTAGAGAAGACAATTATGCTGGGGAAAGTGGAAGGCAAAAGGAAGAGGGGCCGACCAAGGGCAAGATGGATGGATGGCATCCTTGAAGTGACTGGACTGACCTTGAGGGAGCTGGGGGTGGTAACGGCCGACAGGGAGCTCTGGCGTAGGCTGGTCCATGAGGTCACGAAGAGTCGGAGACGACTGAACGAATGAACAACAACATAACATGTTTAACTGTTTCTTCACAAGAGGCACAAATCTTGATTGGTTACATTAGTAAGAAGTGCTGGTTTTGGCCTTTAAAGCCCTAAACGGTTCTGGCCCAACTTATCTATCCGAACGTATCTCAGCCTATCAGCCCACCAGGACCCTAAGATCTTCTGGAGAGTCCCTGCTCTCTATCCCACCGGCTTCCCAAGTGCGGCTGGCGGGAACGAGAGGCAGGGCCTTCTCTGTGGTGGCCCCTCGGCTTTGGAACACCCTCCCTATAGAGATACGATCAGCCTCTTCGCTGATGGTCTTTCGGAAGAGATTAAAAACATGGTTGTGTAAACAAGCATTCAATTAGTTTGTTACTA